GTTTATCTAATGGTTGATGCTGTTGTGGATGATATTAAGATAAGGAAATTGATGATGATGATGATGATGATGATGATGATGAAGAAGAGGAAGAGGAGGAGGAAGAGGTGGAGAAGGAGGAGGAGGAGGAGGAGGAGGAGGAGGAAGAGGATAAGGAAGAGGAGGACGAGGAGGAGGAAGAGGATGAGGAAGAGGATGAAGAGCAGGGAAAGGCTCTTACGAAGCACTGAGGCGGTGGTGCAGCAGTGACGTCTTGTTCTTCCCCATGACTCCGGAGCCCTCCAGCTGAAAGAAAAAACCACACAGTTTCCTTACAGAGGCTGTCGTTTAGTTTCAGTAAGAATTTTACGGCACTTGCAACCTAATAAGGTCATATAAGTGCCGAAGATTAGAGGTGTTACAAGAGAGTAACAAACATTAAAAAAGAAGAAGGAGAGATCAGGACGATAGATGTTCGAATAGAAAAGAAGGAGCAAACCACACCAGAGCACCCGCCAACCACCCACGAGGCTGTCGTCATGGGATGGGAAATACTTTTTGTACAATCACCGAATGATCTCATGTAAGCAACACCATCAACCATCATCAACCATCATCTACCATCATCAATCGCAGCTGTTCAAATTTGAAAAGGAGGCAAACGAAAGTGGTTTGGAGTTTTTTCTCGTCAAGAACGGATTGCTTTACAATTGTGAGGCAGCGTGGTGGAATCAGGCTCTCGTCAATTTTGGAGCATGTAGAGTTATTGGTATTATCTTAAAGGTTGTTCACTTGTGTTTATTTGGATGAAAAAAATATCCATTTATCTTGAATACAAGTCGATATATTTGCGAAAGAAAGAGGTGGGGGTCACCTGTTTTCAGAGGTAAAATTAGTGAGAAAATGGCCGCCAAAGATTATTTGTTTCCTTAGCTTAAGATTCCGTGGTAACTGAAAATTTACATTTTTTGTGCCTTTAATCTACGTTTTTCAGAAAAAATTCACACAGAAACTAGTTTTTTAATGGGCATGAAAGGTGTTGAGCCAAAATAACAAAAATTTGATAAAAATTCACAAACCTGCGAAAAAATGCAAGTTTCTTCACTTTGATTATTTTGACGAGAGCCTGATTCCACCACGCTGCCTCACAATTGTATACGGGGAACGGATTCCTGTCTATGACCAGGATAATCTTTGAAAAAAAACCCCTGAAATTCATCCGGGGTGGTGAGGGCTCTCGTGGTTTAGTTACGGTGTTCGTTTCTCATTCAATAGGTCCCGAGATCGAAACCTGAAAGCGACGGAAATATTTTCTTATAAACATTTCTCCTTTTCTCTTCTCTAGACATGTTCTATCATCTGCTTTCTTCTCCAATTTCTCCTAAAATCGTAAGAGTAAGCTTCGTCCGCCAAACGGTCAAAATTCAAAATTAATTAATTTCTGCCAAACCTGAAAATACTCAAGTCAGTAGTAAAAACATTAAGAATAGGCTACCTTCGAAATCCGAGAATGACTGCCTGAAGGCAAGGGGCACTCCGAAGTAGACAAAATGGTTATATATAGGTAAAAATGTATATATATAATATGGTGACGTCGGTGGCCTAGTGGTTAGGCTCTCGGACTCGCAACCGTAAGGTCGTGGGTTCGAATCCTGTCAGGGACCCAATGTTGTGTCCTTGGGAAAGGCACTCTACACGAATTTTCCTCACTTCACCCAGGTGGGAATGGGTACCCGGCTATAGACAGCAAAAGATCTTGTCAGTTTGTTAGTGTTTAAGAGCTTAATCAGCTGCTTGCACTGTATGCTTCCCCGGAAGATGAGAATGTTTTGGAGTGTTCTATGGTCTGCTGGGGTAATAATATAGTGTAAAGCGCATAGAGCCTGCTGTTGAGCGGGGACATGCGCTATACAAATGCTATTTATTATTATTATTATTAAAAACTAGTTGCACTGCAAGTTGAAGAACCACCAGTCGACTAGACCTACCCCTGAGATCTAGCAGGGGAACACAAAGAAGAAGAAGATAATCCTGGTGGTTGGCGGTGCTCTGGAATGGTGTGCTCCTTCTTTCCTATCAAGCTTCTTTCGTCCTTATGTTTCCTAGTTACTTTCTTCTTATGTAGCTGTCTTGTTACATCTTTGGCACTAAGACTTGTTTTAACTTATTGAGTTGTACGGGCCATAAAACCTTTACTGAAAAAAAAAATCATTCTACGTATTAAAGACCTTAGTGTGAAGTGCCAAAAAGCATTAAATCTGCTAAAAATTATCTCCCCCGAAGTAGAGTGGAGACTTCAAACACCTCCTTCCCCTCTTCTGTTCTTGTGTTAGATCCAAGCTTGTCTACGATAGTCAAGTCTATGGATCAGCAAGACCTCATGATCTAAAAGTGCTAGACCCCATACAGAACCAAGGTCTTCACCTCACCCTGAGGGCTTTCCGCATATATTCTGTGGACAGCAAGCACTAAGCAGTCAAGGTTCAACTCTTTGACAACCAAATTCTCGGCCGTGTTCAAACTCGTATTTATGAGGAGAGGGGG